GATACATCTTTGCAGTGCATGCAAATGTCCCCATGTTTTGTCCCTTTAAAGATACTGCATTTGTAGAAAGGAACCTTTTGTTTCTGAGAGGAATCGATCCTCATATCATGGAGAAGAAGGTGGTGTGTGGGGAGGGGGGGGGTGTTCTGTAGTCCTGTATAGGCTAACAACACTGCACTTGTTTTAAGCAGAGCACAGGCAGTGCTGTCAGTTCAAAGGGGAAATTAGGAGCAGAGTGGATTTCTGGCAGAGAAACAGGTATTTTATCTGTACTGACAGCATTTTTAAAGAGTACAGAAAATGTGCATATATTGCAGAGGTGTATACTCGCTCCATGGCTCCGAGCACCAAACGATCATCCCACGTTCAAAGGCTGTAAAATCTTGTTGTTTACCCGTATCTTCAGAAAAAAATCACTTCTACTGTCGTGGTAAACCACCTGCTTCCCTTCTTATAATGGTCTGGCCCTCTAGCAACTTCAACGCAAAATTATAGCTAATTTGCCTACAAACGTCAGGTGCTCATAATAATCTGGCCACTCAGTGTATGTATGTATGTATGTATGTATGTATGTATGTATGTAATAAAAAAAAATATTTATTTATATTAAAAACTCATTTGTTTATTATGATTTTTTTTTTTTACTACATTTTGCCCAAATGTGTACCTAAAAATATCATCCCCAATTTGTATTCATTAAAGAACTACTCCAGGCAAATATCTTAACTCTTGCAGCGTGGCTACCCCTGCACTGCAAGTGTACTTGTTTTGCCTAGGTAGCTAAAAAAAAAAAGACAAAGTTGTACTCGCCTCAACCCCACGATTCCGGCTGGCTCCTAGACCGGTCCCCCTACAGCCTCCCTCCAGCAGCCAGGATTGTGGTTCGGCGAGTATAACTGTTATTTTGGCTCCCTAGACAAAAGGAGCACTGCCCACTGCAAGGTTTAAGATTTTTATTTGCCCAGAGCTCTTCTTTAACAATAAACACTTAGCAGAGGATTGCACCTTTTCCATTCCATGTGTGACCATAATAGGGACATTTGCCCCTAACCCTGTACCTCATAGCTTAGTCTGTGATTCATTCCTAAGGAGTGCATTCTCTACACTAGAATCCAACAGACAGACACCAAGTGGGTGGAGTTTCAGATGAACAAAATGCAGCTTTGTCAGGTGAGGCGTTGTGTAATAAAGCAGCATAAAATGCCCAAGTTTAAACCATGGCCTTTATTGATGCTCTTTCAATGAGCGCCGTTTACATACACACATCTTCGTTTGCTTAAGACAGGAAAAAAAAAAAAGTGCATATTACAGGAGTACTTTCTGGATAACTCCTCAGGCAGCAGAGAAGTTATATCATCTGTGCTGGAAAGAAACTCACACATTCACAATGCAGCAAAATGAGGAAAAATTAAAAACACAGTTATTCTTCAGTCATTGCAACCCTTTGATAGTACTCAACTCAGATAAAGAACTCTTGTGAACAGAGCATTCATATACAAGTCATTTCTGACTTCCGATCTCTGCATATTCCAGCCAAAACTAATCCCAGGGGCTAAACTACACAGGTCATTTTTAGTTGGGTAAGCAAAAAAAATGAAAATTCCCACAGTGCTTACTGAATATAGTAACTGCGGCTCTATGCAGTGAGCTACAAGACATGGGACTACAATGAAAGAAGGGTTCTACCCCAAGCCAAATTTTTCCTTTTGGATGGAACAAGGTGGATGCAGACGAGTATCCAATGGCCTAGTTGCTGGGGTGCCGTTTCATGTCGCAGTTGAGCCACTCTGCTGTCAGGGGAGGGGGGCCTACCAGCGGAAGGAGCAATAATACGCACCCACGGCCTGAGTATTCTTTACGCTTGGGCCACAAAGCACCGATGGCCTGCATTAGCACAGAGCCACTGAGTATACTTAAATCGGGTGATTAAGGCGTCAAAACGCTTGCCAGGCACCCCTTTATCAAGTGTTCAGCTGAGGGCTCATTCACAAAGCAATTCAATTATTTTCAATAGAACTTCAATGCACATACACAATGTATTAAGGTTACGACATCCCACAACAGACGATGTGGGATGCTGTGCACTTTGACATCAAAAAATATTGCAAGAAGATTTTTCCTACATTGAGTTCTATTCAAAACGGAATAGACTACAGTAATGCCATGTACTAGGGATGCAGCAAGTACTGATATTGTTTTTTCCGGTACTCGCTGATACCGAATACCGGAAGTCCCATTCAGGAAGCCAGGCAGCATGTAATGACTCGCCACCTGGCTTCCTGATTACCCGGGAAGATGGGCAGTGTGTGAAGACTCGCCACCCGGCTTCCCGATTAGCAGGGAAGCTGTCTCTATGCTTCTTGTCACTATGTGATGAAAAAGCATGGGGCTGGTTTTCTGGCCAATCGGGAAGCCGGTCGCTGTGTAAAGACGCAGCCCCCGGCTTCATGCTCCCTCGTCACCTCATTGGCGCCTGGCTTCCCGATTGGCCAGCGCGTCATTACCCGCTGCCCAGCTTTCTTATTGGGCAGGAAGCCGGCTCCATGCTCTCTCGTCACAAGTGACGAGAGCATGGAGCCAGCTTCGCGGCCAATCAGGAAGCCGGGCAGCGTGTAATGAAGCGCTACCCCGCTTCCTGATACCGGAGGTATCTGGCTAGGCATCGGAGCATTTGGGCTAATACGAGTACTTGCCCAAATACTCGGTGCATCCCTACCATGAACCACAACACATGAAAAAGCATACTGTGGCACATGCATTACTGCAGCACACTATGGTGCCCTATGGCACCCTGAATGCCCAATATCACCATTTGCAGTGAATTTGCCAAATTATGGACAATCCACTAGAGAATACAAGCAGCAAATACAGTAAACTCCCAGTTATCCGGTACCCATGGGGATTGGTAGATGCCAGATAAATGTAGTTTCTGGTTGCTTGAGAGTTACTATTAACTCTCAAGCAACAACCACCCTGCTGGCTAGATTCTGCTGTTGGCTATTTAAAATTGCCATAGCCAACAGCAGGCTGCCAGCGGAGGAATCTAGCTGTCGGCCGCAGCAAGATGTTAACAGATAATTTCGTTAGCAACTTAATAAATTTAGTTGCCAACATTTTTTTTCGCTGTGCACATTTCTATCAAGCAACTGGCAAAAAAAAATTGAAGACATATTGGGTCCTCGACTTTTTTTCCCTGGTTGCCTGGATACCGGATAATGGGAAGTTTACCGTACTTACTTCCCCTCTAGTAAAATCCTGAAGAAATATATGAAGAATGTACTGTGGCTGGTGAGGCTCAACAGAAAAGCCAAGACTGGCAAGGGGAAGTCTAGGATGACCACTGGGCCCTATCCAAGTCCACCCAAAGGGGATACATTTGCCTTGGGGTAGTGCTCCTTCTTTCATCACATTACTGTGCGACCATGAACTGCTGCCAGTGGCATGTAACCAACCACAGGCGTTATACCAAGGGGCAATAAATGTAATGTCCAGCAGAGAAAACTGCAAATTGTGCAACTGTTTGCAATGATCTGTAAAAGCTGAGCAGCGAGTCACATTCATTGCCATTTGTTACAAAGCTTTTGGCTGGTCACCTGGAAGAATTGGAACTGCAGGAGCATGATTTAAAAACTTGCTGAAGTAGGATCCCCCGTCTTGGTAGCTCATTCCATAGAATCCCAATGCCCCGGGTGTTTGGTGGACCAACAATTCTTGTTAGCACGGGTAGCAAAACTAACAAATGTCCTTGTGGTTTAGTCACAGATAGGTGAAGTGGCAAGGCTGCTGTAACAAATAAAAACAAGAAAAAAGTACTCATCTTTGATGTGATGCCAAACGCATTTACATTGATAAATCTGAATTGTATGTATAGAGCTCGTTCCCCCAATATACAACCTATTCCGGTATCTCAAGGAGGAAGGTTGAGAAACATTGGTCTAAAGAGAGAATCTACATTATTCTACAGTATATTAAACACAGGAGAGGGGTTAAAAACCCTTTTAATGTACAAATATGAATAAAAAAATTGATAAAAAAATCACCTTTGTACATAATGTATATGCAAAAACTCTTTAAATACAAGCATCAGAAAAATCTATTTACATTATGTCGTAGTCTATGGAATGACCCCACAGTCTCTTTACTGTAATTCTGCATCTCAACAACTGGAGATAATCCTTTCCTCAATACTTCGAGAAAAAAATGATAATTTGGCAGTATATTAAACCAAGGAAAAATAAAAAAATGAAGCGCTAAGTTCTACAAAAAATGAAAAAAAATGGGAGAAAACTGCCAAAATACAAAAAAAAATAATATTGTAACATTTTTTACAATGTTGTTTAGCTGAGCACAGAAGATTGTGTTTAAGAGCTACATTTGTATTGGAAAAGAGAACTAAGCTAGACCCTTCTCTTATTTTTTTTTATTTTTTATTAATATTTTAAAAAATACATAAAAATACAACATTCAATAT